CTATTTTCAGTATATATTCACTGTTTGGGTTTACCTATTTTGGTTTTCTAAACTTTATGAGGATGTTTAATCCTGATAACTCTCATCATAAAGTTACTTTAACATTTGTTCAAAGATCTGTGAGAAGGTTCTTAACAACTATTTTTCACATAGTGTTTAATGGTTTTGCAAACTTGTTGGGAGTTCTAAGTTCAATAAGCTTTCCTTCCTAGAGAGCTTTGATATTTTGTATTAAGTCAGTGTGAAGCTTTCTAATCCAATTAAGCTACTTTGCACAGACTTTCTATATCTGAAATTAGAACTTGTGAGGAGATTCTAATCCATTTCTATATCACAAAGTTTGATGTGGTTTTTCGCTTCACTTCAGAATTCTAGAATTTTGTTTACGAATTTCTAAAATTTATTTCAGTTTCTAGAAAACTCAATTCACCCCCTCTTGGGTTGTGCCATGACACATTCGCGACCACATCCTGCGAGTAATCCTGGGCTCAGTGTTAAGGCTAGGTTTCAATTTCCTTCCCTACGAGCATAGCTTTGGGGCGAGTTTAGAGGTCAGATTCCTAACAGATTCTAGATTGCTTGTATGGTAATATTTAATTAGGTTTGGCAGGAGGTGGGATGAATTATAATTATTAGGATCGTTTATAACTTTTACTGCCTCCTCTTTTCTTTGTGGATGCTTTCATTCATGTTTATTATGTTTGTAATAATTTGTATGGATGACATGGTTTTCTCAAAATTGCATTAAAATCGTTTTACATCTCAATTAAGAGTTAATCTCATTGTTAATTGTGAATCTATGGACAACGAAGAGGCCGGTTTAACTGGGCGAAATGGGTACCTAACACCTTCCCATTTCGTACTTAACTCACAAACTTGTCTCTGGTTTAAAATCAAAGTAAGAGAACCTTTTCGAGGATTAAACGGGTTTAATTAGAGAAAACCATTTTTATAAATAAAATCAATCAAGCTCGTTCGACACAATTCTTTCCAAATATAATCTTTTGGAAAAATCCGACTTCCTTAATAGGGATAAGATAATAGGAATCCTAATTTATCTGTTAGTTATAATTTATTTAAGAGTCTAATATTATTCTTTTATATATTTTATTATTGTATATTATCACAAATATATATGTAAAAGTGTTTAAAAGGTGAATTGATTGTTTAATTTCTTAGTTATACTCACGCTATTCACAATGTTTTTATTTTTTAATTTTTAATTTTTAATATTTGATTGCATAGCCTATTAATTTATGTTCGTTCCAGTGCTCATTCTTTTTGGTTAATAGTGAATTTAATAGAAAAATCAGTAGGATAATATAGATGAAATTCGACTAGTATATAATTAAATACTTGAAATTACATTATCTCTCTGTTCACAGATATAATCGTTTAAGACTTTTGTTGGTGATTAAGAAAGCCATTGATTCTTTAAATTATAGCAAAAAGTTCATTAGTTTGAGTGAATTACACCTTATCTTACATTATTAATAATTGAAAAAATTATGATTTTATCTTTATGTTTTGCCAAAGTTAATTAGCATAACCCTTATTTTGCATATTACACTATAATTTCTCTATATTTTATCTCTATTAAACTATATTGCCCTTCGGTCCAAATTTTCTACCTTTTAGTGGTAATTTTCAATAAAAAGATAAAACTAACCTCATCTTCTATATTTCAAGTCTCTCCCTCTTCCATCTCAACTCTCTAAACTAGAAAAGAAAAACAATAACAATAACAAAAGTAAACTTGATACTTTATCTGATGGATTTCTGTAAATATTTAGAGTACTCTAAATCCTTTTATGAGAGTTACAAATTGATATTTGTTTTTCTATTTCATTTAGCTATACGAACCAACAAAGTGATTTGGGGGTTTACAGATTTGGGAATGTTGGTGTTTTTGGATTTGTAATGGATATTGCTGTAATGTATGGATTGAGAATTTTAAAATTTGTAAAATTGTTGTATATAGATTTGTCTAAATTATTATAATGAAAAATATCATAAAAAAAAATTATATTTATTCCTTTCAAAATAACAACAAATAATTCAACTGTAAAAATTAATTGATGGCCAGTGGTGGCCACTTGGGTACCGTTTTCTCTTTTTTTTATTTTTTTTTTTTAGTTGTTTTACCATTTAGCCTAACTTTATATATAAGTTGTTTTTACAATTTAGCTAAACTTTATTATATATATTATATATATTATTTTTTATATATATTATATATATATGTCCATCTTTGTTTGGTACGAGGATTCTTCAGGGATCTTTTTATATAGTCCCATCTTTTGTTGGTACACGTGGATTCTCAGGGATCTTTTTCAATGTGGAGTTAAGGAGTTTTTATTTGGCTTGATTGGCTTTTGATTGATCTTGATCCTTTCGGTTTTAAGATATAAAAGTGCAAATATTATTGGATTGTTGAAAGAAGAAAGAAAGTTTTACGGAAGAGGGGTAGAGATCAGAGAAAGCAGATGGATATGGAGTCCTCTCAAACTAAGCATTCACGTTTTTTAATAGGAAAATTAACGGAAAAAAAATATAAAATTTAGACTGAAGGGTACAAGAGTTTAATGGATATAAATATAGAGAAATTCTAGTGTAATATTTAAAATATGTAGATACATTAATTAATTTTGACAAAATATAAGAATAAAATTATAATTTTCTCTTAAATTGGAAAAATTCATTAATTACTCTTTAATATTCTCAAAATGACTTATATCTATGAATAAAAAAATACTCTAAAACGATTTATATTTGTGGTTAAAATAATATTTAAGTAGAATGGAATGACTAAATAAGAATTTAGTATAAAATAGCAAATGTTAAAATGTAACTAATTAGACTCAACACATAAATTCACCCTTATACTTTTTAGTAAAAACTTTAAGGCACTCAATTTTTATTCGACCAATTGAATATTTCAATCTATAAAATTATATCTATTAGATATTTTAATTGACTCATTGAATACTTTAATATGTAAAATGAGATCGGTTAAATCTCTATCTCTATTTGATAGTTGTAAATGCAAAAATTATTATTTTAAAAATTATATTTACTGGACATTAAATTAATATTTTATACATAAAATTTAAAAACTTTTAAAATTATTATTGTTAGCGTGAGAAAGTACGAGATTATTATAAAAAGTGTAAGCTCAGAATACCACAAATTTGATTTTAAAGTTGAAAGTCACGTAAAATATATATATATATTTTTTTATCAAAGCTGAGGAATAATCTAAAGGGATAATTACAATCACGTATCTGGATAATGTCTTAATACACTGTCGGTCCTCTTTCCGTTTGATTTTTAGCAATACGACTTAATCTTTCCGTTTGATTTTTAGCAATGACACCGTTAGAATGCAAGTAAAAGACTAAACTGCCCTTATAGCTTTAGGGAAGCAGGAGAGAGAAAGTGCAAAATTGATTGCATCTCTCCCTCCCGATCCTACGAAGATCACAGCTTCTCTCCTTTGCTCCGATCGACTCCGGCTACCAGAAGCAGAGTGGTGAATGGCGTTCGACTCCTTATCAGCCGGAAAATCCCTTAGAGCTCTCTCCTTGCCGATCGATGAACCTGGTCTGCGATGGGAGGCTTAATTCTCTCCTATGCTCCAATCGATTCCGGCCACCTTAAGAGGAATGGCAGGTGGCTGCCGACTCCTCAGCGGCCGGCGAACTTTAGGTCTCAGAAGCTCCCTCAGTACTCAGGTTTCTTCTCAGATCTGTATATTTACTTTTAGTTATTCTTTCCCAAATTTTCCAGCAAGTTCTATATGTGAAGTTTTGGAAAAAGAAAAAGGATTTTAATTTCAAACAGTAATTAGAGAAGTTGTAAGTACATTTGAACTTTATTTTATTTTATTGATTGATTAACTTTTGCTTGGTTTGATTGTGAGCTTCTGATTATTGTGTTTGTAAACTTTTCCTGGAAAAAGAGATGTGAGTGGAGAACAGATCTTGTAATTTATTATTTGTTGTAAATAGAAAATCGGGTGGAGATACTGTGTTATCACATCTCGTTTTGGGTACATATTTTTATTTTCTTTTTGTTTTTTAATTTAACAAGAATCTTTCGTTAGTATAAGAATTTGTTGCATAAACTGTTAAAAGGGTTAAGGGCATTTCCGCATTATATATAAAAATGTTTTAATGTATTTTTAAAAAATTATGAGCGTATTATAACATTATACAGAAACCTAATAGTAATTATCTCATGATCTAATTATTCGAAGAATAACATAATGTAATTAAGACAAAACCATCTGCATCATACAAAATGTGATGCTCACATTAATGGAGGACCCAGCGTTTTGGGTGTGATTGTAACTAATGCTATTTTTATAATTTTATAATTACAAAGCAGCACTGGTTAGCAAACCATAGGACAAAAATTACCGAGGAAATAATAATAATAATAATAATAATAATAATAAAAAGGGGTTCACATGCTATTCTAGCTGAGTTAAGAGAACATCCCATCCAAAGTAAATAAAATAAAAAACTAAGTTATCCTTACAACCAAACACCAACTCAGTTGATTCCCTATCAACCACCTAAACAAATCTCACAAAGTGACCAAACTTTGGCACTCTCCCTAATCCTCCCCAATCCCCATTCCTGTCCCGTACAAGTCATCTTTGTAGTAAGAAACTTTTTTCCTATTCTCACCCCTCCTGCGCGTGCATTCACGTGCTGAGGAAGGCCTTGAATATTGGTCCTTCTAATCTTCAAATTGTCCCCGCAACTGCAAATCCTGTAAATGGATAAGTAAGGAATATCCAACGTATCGTTTGCCTCTGCCACAAGAGTACAGCATTAAATGGATCACCTGGCTGATGGTGAAATGATGGCGGCGCGTGAAGGAAACGCTGGGAGGAGGGGAGTTAAGAAAGAAAAAGAAAAAAAAATGATTAAAATCTTAAAATCTTGTAACACTCACTCTCAAGTATAAGACCCCCAAATCCCGGAAAAACAAAATAAAAACTCTCTTCCCATAAAAAAAAAAACAAATAAAATCATAAGAGAAAAAGCGTCAGCAACAGTACCCATAATAAAAGCTGAAAAGAAGAAAACAAGATCCACCTCGAACCTCTCTCCACTCTCCTCCTCCTCATCATCGTTCCTCCCCCTCCTCGAATTCCCATTTCCACTCCATCCCGCCGCCGCGGCCACCGCCACAGTCGCGCATCCTTCCGTCCAAATCAAATTTTGGATAGAGAAAGTGATAATATTTTTTGGCAAAATTAGAAACAAAAATTCCATCACGCACACTTGTTATTGGTTGAATTTTGCCCATATCCCATAAATCTATTTTTGTTTCCACTTTTAGACCCAAAGAAGAGAAAGAATAAGGGAAGTAGAGAGTCGGGTTTTTGGTCAAATTTGGGGAAATGAGGGAGGATGATTCTAATTGGTTTTCAAGGTGGGAAGAAGAGCTTCCATCGCCTGAAGAGCTTATGCCTTTATCTCAAACCCTAATTACTCCTGATCTTGCTCTTGCTTTTGATATTCGAAATCCTACCAATACAACCGTCAATAATACCTCACTTCAACAAAATCCGCCGCCGCCTCCGCCACCACCGCCGCCTACTTCCACCACCCCTTCCCCGTTGCCTCCTTCACAGCCTAATTCTGCTGAATATGCTGCCGATTCTGCTGACTTGGGCTCCGGGGCCGCTGGTGATGAGCCCGCAAGAACCCTTAAGCGGCCTCGCCTTGTTTGGACCCCTCAACTGCACAAGAGATTTGTTGACGCTGTTGCTCATTTGGGGATCAAAAATGCTGTCCCGAAGACTATAATGCAGCTTATGAGTGTTGATGGGTTAACTAGAGAGAACGTAGCTAGTCATTTGCAGAAGTATCGGTTATATCTTAAAAGGATGCAGGGGTTGTCTTCTGGTGGTGCTGGTGGCGTTAATGGTACCGGTGCTGGTGCGGGTGCTGGGTTGACTGCAGGCGATGCTGCAACTGAACATTTGTTTGCCAGTTCTCCCGTGCCTCCGCATTTCTTGCATCCAGGAAGGCCTAATTCGGATCATTTTCTGCCGTATGTGCCAGTGGCAGCGCTGCAACACCACCACCACCAGCAGCAAATGGCAGCAGCAGCCGCGGCAGTGGCACATCCCCAGTTGCAGAATCAGTACCATAGGCAGATGGGGCACTTTGGATCGCCTCAAAATGGGCAGTTTGAGCATCCCTTTCTGGCTAGGCAGGCACAACAGCCTGTCCACAGGATGGGGGCGCCAGTACAGAATACAGTTCCAGGGTATGTGGAGGATTTGGAGTCAGCCAATGGGAGTGGAGGGAGGAAAGTTCTCACTCTGTTTCCTACAGGGGATGATTGAATTTGGGTAATTGTTGACTCCTTAATTAATCTTTCTTTTTTCTTCTTCTTTCATTAAGCTACTGGGTCCTTGTTAAATTGGTGTTTACTGGTAGTTCTGTTAGATTTTAATTTAGGGTATTGATTGTGATGGCTATGTTAGTTGTTGTTGTTGTTGGTGGTAATTCTCAAGGTAGAATTCGGTCTTGGCCTTCCATCTCCAGATCCAGAAATTTCTGTTCTTGCTGTTGGTTATACTTTTGAGTGATTGGAAATTGATGGATAGTGTCATTAATGGTGTTCTTCAATTTCTACGGGCTTCTACTCATGTAATTAAGTTGTTGGTAGCAGTCTGTATTTCCATGTCAGCTTCTTCTGATGGATGTTTGATCGTGAGGTCATTATGGGCAGCCACAATGTGTCTTAGCTTGTCCATGGAAGCTGTTCTTATCAGTACTGTGGTATTGGGTTAATCTGGATTTTGTAGAGGGTTTGCTTTGTCCCAGCATATTTTGGGAACCGGCTCAGTCTTCTTACAATTTAAGCCTTCTTTTCAAGGTGGTGGTTTGATTGTCAATGTTGCAGATGGGCAATTGGAATGCAATTATCTGAATTTGTGCTTGCAGATGAGGATAAATAATGTTGGCAAGTGCAGTATATGTTCTATAGGATCTAATTATGGGGTTGGTACCATTGGTTGACACATTTGGCACTGAATTTCTCAGCACAGTCCAAAAATTCCATATGTATTTGAGTCTCTTCTGTTTATTAGCCTAATGTTATGTAGAGGTGAGTTGTACTTGTTGTACATTGTGTGACTTAATAGAAAACTAAAATGCAACTCGAGGGGTTAAACCTCCTGATGTTACTAGGCTGTTGAATTTAATTTAATGCTCCATGAACGTTTAAGTAGCTGAATTTCAAGGTACTTCTGAAATTTGCCTTCGTTGTTTCTTTTTCTTTTCTGTCATTTGCTTTTGCATTTCATTTTTCATAGAGAGCACCATCTAAAAAGTTGCATCGGATGATCTTTTCTTTTTTTCTGTACTGTATTTAGCACACAGTTGAAGCACAAGTGCACTAAAAGAAGTGGTAGGTTGAAAATAACTCTACCAGAATTGTTGTTCATTGTTCCCAATTTTGATGTAAGGGAGCCTTGATGAGATGAAATGAAGGATTTTGGCATAGAATTTTTGACTTAATTTGAAGAGTTGAAATAATAAGAAATGTCTGGAGTCGGGAGTCCCTGCTATAAGATTTGAAAGTTAATTATGTTTTAAATCATGGAAAAATATGATTGAAGTTTATCAGTTTCGAGGTTCTAAATGTTGGACCCCGGGGGGGGGGGGGGGGGGGTTTTCAGTTCGAGGTTCTTTTAAATGTTTGGACCGGGGGGGGGGGGGGGGGGGGGGAGGGGGGGGGGGGGGGGGGTGTGTGATTTGTTAAAGATCCTTGCTTATGTTCCTTATACATAGAATGCATGTCGCATCTCCATTACATGAATGTTATGGTTTTGAGAATCTCATGCTGATTTCATCTAAATCTTAATCTGTTTTTAAGACATGCCTCACCAAGTACATTGCTGGTTTCAAAAGAATTAAGCTGGCTGGCCAAATTCATTCCTGTTCATTTGTTTCTCTTCTTTTTTTTCTTGTTTCAAGCATGTGAGGTTCTTTCCTCTTATTAAAATATTCATTAAGGCAGTCAGTTTCGAGACTGCATTATTTTCAAAGTTGAGTTTTGCCTGTCAGTTTTTTTCTTTTTTTTGGTTCATTTATTTTCCTGTGATATTCTGATATTTCCATGCTTGCTGCCAATTTCCCTCAAGTGTGATGATTGTGCTTGTGACCGTTGTTTGATTCAAATCTATGAAGGGCGGGTATGATATCTGCAGCAATCAAGTTGTTTCTTCCTTCTTTTTACTATGTGAAAAATAGCTCCTCAATCTCTTCAATTACTTGAAGGAACTTTGCATGTCAGTTGTCAATGAGGTAGAAATGATATGCACAGTTCTCAGTACCCCATCTTTTACTGCTAGGGGTAGCTTCAAACAACAAATCTGAAGCAGTATCCTAATATTAGAAACAAGATAGATAGATAGATACATTGGAATCTTGTGTGCCAGGAAACATATGGGATATTAATCCATTATTGAGAAGACAAGAAAAAAAAAAAAAAAAAAAAAAAAAAAAAAAAAAAAAAAAAAAAAAAAAAACCCATCTTTTAACTCTAGGAGGTGGCTAATCAAACACAAAATCTGAAGGACAGAAATAGTTGAACACTTAAATATTAAAAAAGAATATAGGAAAATGAGGATGGAGATTTACATTGTAATCTTTGTGTTGGTAGTCGCAGGAAACACTTATGGGATTATTATATCAGGTTATTCACGTGTGTGAGAAAGACAACGCGTGTAAAAAAAAGATATATATAATAGATAAAAATTAAATATAATAACACACAAAAAAAAAGATACTAATAAAAAAAACACAAGTAGTGAAGAAACTAAGAGAAAAAGTAAATTCCCGGAGAAGATTGTGGTTGTGTGTTTGAGTATAGATGTATAATTGATTTATCTCCTCCTTTAGGGATTATTTTTCTTAAAAAAACAGCACACTTTCAAATCATTAAATGGTCTGAGTGTGTTATGCTCCTTATTTGGCGAGCCCATTTAGTTTTTATGGGGCTACGTTCGAGGCGCATTCTGTTAAAATTTTTAGATGAACGAGATTTAATATTTATTATATAAATTTAATTGAGTGTGTATCATTGAAAAAAGCAATGAAACATGCACGTTGGAGGGGGCCTACGCGTTGTGCATGGGTGGATTGTGTTGTTTGACAATAGCTCCTGTCTACGATTCTGGGTTTATAACCTCCGAATGTTTTATGTGTGTAACTTTTCTTATGTTTACCGGTAAAAATGAGACTCTCACATCAAGATTATCTTGAGTCGAAAACCCAATTAGTCATTTGATTTGTGTAGCAGTATGTAACTATTTCATCGAGGTTTTTCCTTAGTATTTCCGGGGTTTGATTTGTTCTCAGAACACCCCAAATTGATTTAAAACACTAAACTATATGTATGGTTCATTATAAAAAAAAAAAAAAAAAAAAAAAAAAAAAAAAAAAAAAAAAAAAAAAAAAAGAGAAAAAAAAGAGAAAAAGAATAGAAGATGTGTCTGTTTAGTAGTATTTGTTTAATGGTTTTAGGTTATTTTCTAAAACAGCATTCATGATTAAGGGCAGCTGAGCATGCTCCTTATTTGGCTTACCCATTTAGTTTGTATGGCACGTTGAGGTTTAATGCACATTTTTATAAATATTATTATTTATCATTGAAGCATGAACATGGCACATGGGCAACCTGGTGATAGGTGGCATGCGCACACTAGCCTGTTAGCTTCTGGGTTTCCTCCAAGTTTATTTTAATCTTTTTTAGCCGATTAAAAATCTCAATCAAGTTTATCTTTTAGCATGTGCTATTCATGGTTCCTTAGTATTCCGGTGGTGTTTTTTCAAAACCCTAACAATGAGGTCTTTAATTTATAATTTCGTCAATTCTTTGTCCTTTCCTCTGTTTTGGATGGAAGACTAAAATGTTAATAAAATCATAAATTATGAACATCATTATTAGATTTGAAAATAGAGATTATCGCTTTAATTTAACTATAATTCATGGATTAATTTATTATTTTTTCTTCTCTCTTTTTTTCCCTTTTATTAGAATAATGTAAAGAATAATGTAAATCAAGATTTTAGAAACATCGTAGAGACCAATTGATTGAAATAATCACTGGGTTTAAAATATTACTTATCCATTCCATTTTAATAGCAACAATTGATCTTTTCATTAGGATTAAGAAAATAATGGGAATACATGGATTTTCTAAAAATATACGATATAATGTTTTACTTGCCTTTCTTAAAATTAAAAGCTTTTATCTAATTTTGTTATAAAACAACTAATAAATATAGAAAAAATTGAAAAAAAAAATTAATGTACTCTCAAAATTCTAAATGAGTACTTAAAATTGAACGAGGTAAAATGTTCATTTGTTATTATTAAAGTTTATTATTAAAAGTGGAACGGAGGGAGTAATTTATAATAGTTTTAATTTTTATACTATTGACTACTACTCTGTTCCATAATAATTGTTACATTTGAAGTTTTACGTTCTTTAAGAAAACCATTAAATTTTTCTAAATTACAATAATTTTTTTAGTAAATTGACAATATCACCCTTAATTTAATATTAATTTTCTAAGAAAATATTAATTGAAGTAATAATTATTGGTCATATACAAAGGGTAAATATGAAAAAATATTTATTACTCTTGAAATCACAAATGTGACAAGTGTTTTAGAACAAATTATTTTTCTAAATGTGACAAGTATTATGGAACAAAAGTAATATGTTAAAATTTTGATTTTAAATGTATGATAACAATTTAGAGATTAAACAATAATTAACTTTTAAAATATGTTTAAAGATATTAAAGACAAGTTTTGTAGTATCTCACAGAATTAGCAATTCAGAACTGATTCTAGTTAAAGCACGATTTCAACATTGGTTCTGATTTCAACATTTTTTTTTTTTTTTGGAATTGATGACAACTGCCGATTATAATCATGAGGTGTTGGGGAATGGAACTAAGACTGCACCTATACCTTACCGGTTTTAAATCCCGTTTAGTTCAGTTGTTGATTTCAATTGATAGTTGATAGTAATCATCGATATACTTTCTCTATTCACAAATACTTGTCACATTTGAAAAAATACTATTGATAATAAAATAAAATATCTGATTAATTTGATATATAAATATATTTAATAAAATCATATCTTATCCATTATCCGTGAAAATCCTTAACTAACTATTATGGTGGTTAGTAGTGAAGAGAATCTATCTACTACCCCCACCTCTCTTTTCTCTATATAGAAAACTACAAACGAGGAAGCAAAGGATAACTTTCACACAACTTACATATATTCATCTCAAAAAAGCTCTCATTAAAACAAATCAGAGACAATAAATTATTTTTTGTTATCAATTAGTTTGGTGAGCATGGAACACACCTCACGATTTTTCAGTCCTGAAACACAATCTTCCCGCTCACCATGTCTGATAGCTCACTAAGAAAGCCATGCTTAGAGGAAACTATAGACGAACAAGAGAGGCTCAATGACCAAATCTTAATGCCGCCTCCTCGAGTGGTTGATCCTCAAGTAGTGGCCGCTCTAACTCAAGTTCATGCGCAATTCACCATTGTGCTAGAGCGCATATTAGCTAACCTCGGCTGATGACGAACATCATGTCCCAATCAACAAATGCGATCCTTATCTCTCTAATGTATCTAGGAGACGAAAAAATCAAATATTTTCCAAGGTGAGCTCCCAACCGAACTTCTTGAAGGAGAATCTGAAGCTCACCAAAGCTCATTTATGCCAAAGAGTATGGAGCCCAGCCAACCTATAGTAAATGACGTTGATCTTCGCAAAGTTGTCAAAGAAATCTTCAGAGAATGTAAAGAGCATTGAGAGATCGAAAACTTCTGGCTCAGAGATGATTCACCCTTATTTTCGGACACATTGAGCTCTGCTTTCCCACCGACGTTCATGATGTTGATCTTCTAAACTTATGACGACAGTACCAATCCTCACAGTCATCTAGCGGCATTTAGAACGCTTATGTGACATCCCAGGTTTGGGGCACAACACCTTAGGCGAATCCCACATCGGCTACGCACAAGGTGGAAGTCCTATACATAAAGGGTAGTCTCGAAAATCACAATCTCTATGAGGGAGACGATATATATCCAATCTCACCCAAAATATTTTCCTAAACAAAGTTGCATTTCTTTGACCAATTTCAATCTCCTTGAAGGGGAGATACGTGAATGTCTACCAAAGCTCATTATTACCTGTCAACTGAA